GCTCTTATATTTGAATTCTAGGTCTTCAGTTGGTGGAACAGTCTGGGAAGGATTAGGAGGTATAATCTTACTGGAGGAGATCTGTCACTGGAGGTGGGCTTAGAGGTTTCAAAAAAGCCAAGTCACTCTTAGCTAGCTGTCTGCCTAATGATTTTTTTTTATCAGATGTAAGATCTCCACTGCTACTCCAGCGCCATGCTTGCCTGCCTGCTGCCATGGTCCCTGTCAAGATGGTTATGATGTCTAACCCTCTGGAACTGGGGGCCCCCGATTAAAGGCCATCTTTTATAAGTTGCCTTGGTTATGGTGATTTGTCACAGCAATTCAAAATTGTTGAAAGAACAACCAAGGATGCTATAGTGAAGTGAATGAATCAGATGGTGATGCAGAACCAGACCAGAGAGGAGACTGAGAGACAGTGACTTTTTTTTTTATTCATAAAACATTGCAGAATATTTAGCAGGGAGATTTTCAAAGATAGTTTCTTGTTTTAAGTAGTCACTTTGAATATTCTGTTGACATTAGAATGTTTAGGCTGGGGTACAGGGAGTTTACTCAGGAAGTTCTTGGAGTCATCCAAGGAACACACAATCATGGTTTCATCATGATTAGACAGATTGGTGGTAGTGATATGGAACCAGAATCTGGACATAGTTTGAAAATGTGAAGGAGAAGTCAAACAGTTCTAATCATTTTTATCCAGCAGCTGGAAAGATGTTGCTGCCAGTGACTCTGATTAGGAATATCAACACTTCATTCTCAGATATGAACTCAATGAGTTTATTGTGTGTTCTGATATCTATGTTTACATCACATAGGCAATGTGATAGACAATTAGGAAGTTCTGATGAGGTGATATATAAATTTAGTGTTCCCCAATGTTTTAATGACACAGACACTATCAGGTGATAATACTATGAAGGGTGTGACCATTGGGTTATCTTAGGTCTGACCCTTTGGACACCTAACTGTGCAAGATATTACAATGGGGAGTTTAACCCAAAATGATTCTGAGAAAGATAAAGTGATAGGAGATGAACCACATGAGTGTATCTTACCATGATAGGATATGTCATATTGAATGTTTCAAAGGGGCAAAATAATTTGCCTAAGGCTGGTAACCTCATTGATAATCATTTTTGTTAGTTGATTTTCTTAATTATTTCCATGACTTTATGTACACTGGAAAGCAAATAAGAATTTTTGTGCATTTCCTTCTTTCTGTTGCATAATTTATTATATATGTTTTATACTTGGTCTATCATGCAATATTCATGGTCTCTGTTATTACTGCTCAGCTTTATAAAATATTAACTCTTTGTTTCATGTGTAAGATTTGAGATTCAGATGGGAAAAAGTAATTCATGCTAGAAACACCAATAGCCTTCTACACTGGAAATGAGACCAGCAGTGCAGCCTTGTGCCCTTGCATGTTGGTCTGAGTCATAGGAAACTGGTGATATTTTTATGTCTTGGTTCAATGTGTCACAACATAGATTTGCTGCATTTAGTCATTTCCTAGAAATTTCATAAATTTTAAAAGAATTTTTGTGAAATGTTCCTTAAATCACAATTTATGATCCTTGGCTTTCAAAGACTCATGTTAATGTCATACTGCAAAATGTATTCCGTTCATCTGCAATATTCATCACACTCCTAACTACCCCAAAACTCCTTGAAAGCACAAATACAAACCCAGTTTTGTAAAGTAATATAAAGTTAAGTACAAGGCCTGTGAAATCAACTTATGTAAGTTCAAGATATAGTTATTTAGAGTAAACAATCCCAGGGAGAAGAAATAGAAGGAAAATAAGGAAGAAACAGACTAAAGCAAGATCAAAATAGCGCGGGGGGGGGGGGGGCATTAAATATTTCCATATTCACCATCTGGGCTGTGATCTTATGATGTGGAACTCACTTGATTTGGCAGGCCCAGCTATTGATGGCCTCACTCTTGGGCTGGTTTTTCTTGCTCAGAAAAAAACAAAAAAAGAACATTTACTCAGCAAATGTTGCACATTCTTGGCATCTCTAACTTCTTGGAATCTCCATTGTGTGTTCACCTTCACCCTCACATCTTCATTCTTCACTCTCTTATGGAATGCCTGTATTGATCTTGACCTTGTGGTACTCTGACTACCCTTTGAAATCTAGTTGGAAGTCTCCATGGCCCCATAATTGTTTCCTTCTGTATGACTGTAAAACCAGCACCACACACATGATAACATGCTCCAGTGACAATCCAAATCATCGACTGTCCTCCTTGGGCCACAGATGCACTGGTACCTGAGTACCTGAATTGCTGTATTTAGGCAACTCTTTGCCTAACACCAGGCAGACAAGCTGGAACTCTCCTCTCAAAGGATTCTATCTAATGGGCCACAACCTTTACCTTGAGCTTATGAGTAGGATCCAGGCACCCAGATGCACTCAAAGATCATATTCTACTGCTTACATGCAAAATACTTGCTTTCATTTAATGGAACTAGTCCTTCCTTCTAGAAACCATGCCTCACTCCTTGCTTTGCACAGACTTTTGTGAATTTTTTAAAAATTGTTTATCTCTTCTGTTCTCAATGCCTTTTATTTTACCTCTTCTAAGGATATTGTTTCTGTTTCTGTTCTTCCTTAATTCTTAGGGGTTGCTTAGAGTCTACAGCAATACTTTATTTTTCCATAAGCTTCAATAGTCATTAATCAAGTAGAGTGTTGCATCCACTTATTTGACCACATAACATCTATTAGGTTAAATAAGGAATCTAACAGATCTCCATATATAAAGTCAGCATCGGATCTCTAATACCTTCCCCCTGAAGAATGCTATTTCATGTATCTTATAAGATGGATCTAACTGGAAATATTTTTCCTTATATGGTTTTCTGAGAAAGGCTTTCTTTTCACGTTTGTATGATAATACGGTTGAATACAGAGTGTTTGTTCTATGCAATTTTTTTCCTTTCAAAACTTAAAATGTTTTTTTAAACATTTATTTTTTAACAGAAGCAGGTTATCCTTTAATGGTCGGGTGCAGGAGGCTTAGGATTTTGTAGGGAATAAAGAGAACTTTTGGCATGGAAGACTGCATACTTGCATTCTTTTTAAGGAGAACTTTGTGCACTATTGGGCTGGTGAGATGGCTCAGTGGTTAAGAGCACTTGCTGCTCTTACAGAGGACCTGGGTTCAGTTCCCAGACCCCATTTAGGAATTCACGACCATTAATAATTCCAGTTCCAAGGGATCAGACATCATCTTCTGGCTTCTGTGAATACCAGGAACTCATGTAGTATGTTGTGAGCATGTGCTCACCTGTTGGTGCACGCACACACGCGCGCACACACAGACACATAAAATAATAACGAATATATTTTTAAAAAGAGACAAGACTATTGCTCCTCTACAATTAAGGGTGGTGTCTTTATTAATATTTCCTCTGTCTCTAAGACTTTGGAGCTTTACATGATACACCAAGATGCTTGATAAACCAGTTTCAGGATGGATGCCCAACTCACACAGCGTATCTAGGAAGTTGTTAACCGAGGCTCCATTTCTGAACACGTGGACACTCAGAACAGTTCCTGGTACTCACTGCTTGAGCTGCCAGCAGCCTCTGGATTCATGAATATGATTTTGATTTTTCAGACATGACCTGAGTGTTGTGGAGTCATGGGGATTTCCACCTAAATTTCAAAAGAAAGCTTTTGAGTCCTGTCACTATGGGTTAAGATAAGATCCCTGTAGACAACCTATTCAAGAACAACACCTGAGGCATAATTCAGTCCACAGTGATGTAAAAGCTATTGTCTTTAGTGTAATGACATTGTGTGTGTGTGTGTGTGTGTGTGTGTGTGTGTGAGAGAGAGAGAGAGAGAGAGAGAGA